ACACACACACACACACACACACACACACACACACACACACACACACAGTTCAACCTGACGTCAAAAAGCTATGTAACACAGTGTGAGGCCCACATCCAGAAGAAATTAAGCTCACAACGGAGAAAGGGGAGGTGGAGACTGGGGTTGGCGGCGGCAGCGGAGCTGGTAGGTGGAGAGGCACAAACTCCTGAATTGAATGCTTTCTAAGGCCCCTCAGCCACTCCCAGGTGGCAGGAAGCTACTTGTCTGAAGCTATTTACTTTCGGGGGGGGGGGGGGCCCTATTGATCTTCATTCAGCTCCTGTCTGCTGCTACACAGGGATGTTTCATCGAATCACCAGTCACCGCCAGAAATTTCTCATTGTTTCACTCGCAGCAGCTCCCGAACTCAAAGACAGTTGTTCAGGACCATTTGGCTGAACTGACATGAAGAGCTGCAGGCCTCTTCAAGGTTGCTGGGGGAAGCCCCCTCTCCCGGACTATGCATACTCGAGTAACTGTGGATTTTTGCTCAGGCAGGGGCCCCATATACATTCAGGAAGCCCATGACCCATTAACCAGGTTCCTTGTCAGTATTTTGAGGGAAGCAGTCAAGCTGGGCTCTCCATCAGCTTCCTAGCTCTGCTGGGCTCAGCAGCGGACTTTTTCCTTTGCCCTGGCTCCATTCAAAGTTTTTATCACCCACAGGGGCATTGGGACATCATTCCTGGCCTTCCATGCCTCCTGCCTTGAAATCATGGTTTTCCATCTCAATACTAGACTGCATAGCTCAACACTTTATTCCTCTCTTATATCAAAATTGTCTCTGGGTTTCAACTGCAAAGAATCATGGAAATCACAGAACAGCACAGCATCATGCATTTAGAACTGGAAAGGATCTCAGGGCTCATCTAGTCTAATGGAGGAAACTGAGACCCAGAAAGGTTAAGTAATAATTTGCCCAAATTCACATAGACAGACAAGCAGAGGTAATATTTGAACCCAGGCAATTAGAATTTAAATCCAGAAATCTTTCCGTTGAAACACGATAAGTGGAAAGGGACCTTAGATACCAACTAGTCCAACCTTCTCATTTTATATAACTGGAAACTGAGGGCCAGGGAGGAAAAAAAAGATTGTCCCAAGGTCACACAATGCCAGCAGAACTGACACTCCATCCAGGACTCTTCCCAGTAGACTTTCTAACTGTATCATTCCTAGAATTTTAGACCTAAAAGGTGACATCACCAGGAAATTCTGATCCCTGCATCATGTCATTGAAGCACTCTTGACTGATCAGCCCATCCATTATAACTGTTGCAGTGAATTAAGACCAGATTCATTTGAACAACAATGACAACAATAATAATAATATCCTACAATATGCTTTGTAAACCTTCAAAGAGCAACACTTGGTGATCACACAGAGAATACATCTCCCACATATTCATATGAAATAATCAATGTTGGGGTTTTTTTTTTCTCCTTGGGCTACAATCCAATTATTCTCTCTCCCTCTCTCTTCCTCCCTCCATCGCTCTCCTTTCTTACTTGCCACCCATCCAAGCAATCAATGCCTTGACCTCTTCCTCTGATAGACACAATTACAAAAAGACAGAGCAGAGCAATTCATCTATTCAAGATGGATTGTTCAAACACTCCGTCACGCGACAGGGCTCCCTCCTGGGCTCCCTGTCTGAACGAAAATTTGAGCCTCCAAAGAGGCCAATAAACAGAAGAGTAAAAACTGCCCCTCTTCAAGTCCAAAAGCCCCCTCTTCCCCCACACCTGCAGAGGAAGCTTCCTTCAGTGTCCCCAACCTGAAGGGAAAAAAAGCCCTGAGTGTGAAGGCAGCAAGTGGCAATATGGGACTCGGCAATAAACACGGACTGTTTGCAGGACCTGCACTCCGTGTCTCCACCTTAGCACCAGACCCCTCTCCCTTCTGACCGGCCTAGTAATGACACCTATCTAGACAATGAGGTCACTGGAGTGGGGGTGCTTGGGAGAATTCTGCTTAGGGGTGGTGCTGACTGGGTATAGGTTGAGCATAGTTCTCTCCCTCTCTGAAAAGGCCATCAGAGCTGGTGTAGGGGCAGTTTGGCAGACTCAGTCCTCTCGGGGGAATGTTCGAGGGAGCTAAGAATGCTACCCCAACCACTGCCTCTTCTTTTCAGGGTTGGCACCCTCACTGGCAGTCACGTTTGGCATCTACACAGTTGTCTGCTCTACCCTGAGAATAAAATGGGACCAGGGTGCCTGGGATATGAATGGCCAGGTCTGACACATGATAATTAATCCCGGGGTTTAATATGAAGAAGATTAGAGAAGCCGGTGCTTTGCCCTCCTTTAATTATGCTATTACATAGTGAGCCCCAGGGAGGGGGAGGCAGGCTGGTGGGCCTGGGCAATGTGCCACATTTCAATGGGGAGACCCTGACCCCATCAGCCATCTTAGTTACAAGGGGAGGGACATCCTCCGATAAGCAATTTACCATGTTTGGTGAAGGTTTGTTGGCTAGTAACTCACTAACTTCATCCTCTGCCCCCCCCCAAGTCCATGGGACTTGGATTGCCCTCCCTAAGAACACATGCATACCCATCCTACAGAGTACTACAATCCTCAAGTTTAGGTTATCTCCCAAAGGGTCACTGAAAATGGACTGAGACCATAGTCAAAAACAACACATAGACTCAGAGGTCTATTCAATATCCACCCCCCTCATCACCATCTTTCTCCCCCCACCCACGCACACATATACAGAGGGGAAAGCGGGAAAGACAGTCGTATCTGCAATGCGTGAGTTGGCCTCAGAGGCCCCATGGGCACCCATATTCTCCCCACCCTTGCCCTCACCCCCTGCATATTTCCCCTTCTCAGCCTCTCCAAGGGCACCCTACTGCAGAAGGTCTGTAGCCCTTCGATCTACACTCAAAAAAAAAAAGAATGAAAAAGAAGGGGGGCCTTTCCTCAGATAGTGGAGCAGCAAGTCCTGGGGGTAGTAGGTAGTTGTGGTGGAGTAGAGGAAGGTAACAGAGGGAGGAGGAAAAATCCTTAATGACCAAGTAACATCGCCCAAGGGCTGCAAATGGTTAACTCTGAAGTGGGGAAGGGGGGGGGCAAAGGGAAAGTATTGTATGAGATGTAAAACCCTACTGCCTTCCTTGCCTCTGAATTGAACACACTCCTCAAAATCAGCCCAGAGAAAGGCCCCAGTTTTAAGAGATAGGACTTGTGGGCTGCCCACTGACTAGATGTGCTTAGTAGGTTCCATAACACCAGAAAGAGGTCCCTGGACCTAGGGTGGGAGGAAGAGTGGAGGAAGACAGGAAAACTCCAAGAAAAAGCTTCTGTGAGGTCCAAAGGCACAGATTTTGGCTGATTTAAAAGCCCAATCTTCAACAGAGACAGTATTCTCTCCCTCTACTCCCAATCTAGTGCAGGCAGAATGGCGAGTGGCGGCCCAAGGCAAGAGCCCAGACTCACCAAGGCTGAAGGAGACCCCCTCCTTGGCACTTATAAGAAGGAAGGGGGAGGGGTTGCAGATGATTCCTATGGGACCTCGGCTTTCCCTCTCATGTTGTTCTGGAGGATACAAGGGGAATAAACAGGCTCTTCACTAACCAAGTCAGAGATACCTACAGAGCCATACCTCTTATATTGAGAATTCTGTTCCCCAGGGGGCCTGGGGCAACACCGGCGCTCAGCTGGGCGCCCACTCTACCCCTCCTCCTTTACACACTGCACCATTTACCCCTCATACAGACACAAAAAGCCAGAGCTACCCACGACAGGCCAGAGGGCGAATGAGATAGAAAACAAAGTTGGATTCCCCGAGTTACTGCCTCGGTTAGAAACAAACAGGAGGAATAGTCAGCTCCAGCTCTCCACCAGGCTGGTTATAGCTGCAATCCAGAAGCTGTTCGGCCAGTTTGTGGTAACTTAAAAAAAAATCGAAATATGCCCTCCACTTCAGATTTTCCTCCCTTAGTCCGCACCATGCTTCCTCAACCATGGAGGAGAGCTCTGGGGGGGGGGGGGGGGGGGCTAAGCAAGACTGAGACGATCACTTTCTATCAGGAGGTCTGGCCAAGCTGTGCCCCGGGGTGCGGGACTCCAGATGCACGCCCTGCCCCGAGGGAAGCCTGAAAGCCCAAGTCCCAAAATAGTCAGGTCCCCATTGGGTTGTCTCCCGCCCATGTTCCTCAGGCCCAATAAGGCTGGGGGCGGCCACTGAGAAGAGAAGCCTGCAGAAGTGAACGGCCCAGCATGAAAGAGCCTGAAGTTTGCTGCACCCTCGACCCTCCCCCACCTCCGCCCAGCTCCATCTCCATGGCTCCAAGCCTGATCCCGACTCCCTGCCCATCGCCTGGATTCCAGCCTTGAAGGTCGTCCCCTTGCTGCCCCTAACCCTGCCAAGAGACCCGAGTACTGAAGGTGAGGAGGGGGTCGGAATTGGGGATCTTCACTCAAACACACACATACACACACACACACACACACACACACACACACACACCACCTCTGAGCCTCTGGTCCTCCTGAGCCCCCTCCTGGGTCAGGAGAAGTGTGGACAAGGAGCCAGGCTGGGGGACTTAATTCCTGAAGGAGATCGGGAGACAGGGAGAAAACAGCTCCTAAGCACGGTCCCCGCTTGCCGGAATGGAAAGGGAGAGTTCCCTAGGCTTGAATCGGGGCGGAAATGATGGGGATAGAGGGCCCAGAGACAGTTTGGCCACCCCCACACCAGTCCTGCCTGTCCCTGTCCGCCCCGCCCCAAGGAACAGCAGTACAAACCAAGGGGCTTCGGCCAAGCTGGGGAGTGGGTGGGTGGCCGAATGTGCCCGGGCTCAGGGAAGAAAGCAGGGATTCAGGGAGGGAGCGGGCTGACGGGAGCGCCCAGCGGAACCCTTACCTATCCGGATGACATGGGGCATTCCCCGGGAGTCCTGAATCCAGAGCACGCAAACCAGGAGCCCGGCCCAGTATTCCCAAACCAGACTCTGGAGACGCCGCCAGGGACGGGTCATCGTTGGGCGCCGAGCCTCCCCGGGGCGCGGCCGTGGCGGGCTGCTCCGCTCCCTGGGGCGGCCGCTCTACCAGCCGGCGCGCAGCCCGGGAGCCTCCGCCGCCGCCGCCGCCGCCTTCACGGTCTCCACCACGGCGGCCGTAGCCGCCGCCTCCTGGCCACAGAGCCCGAGTCCGGAGCGGGGCTGCGAGTCAGGAGCGCCCCGGTGCGCTCTGCACATCTTACTGGGAAGCCCGCCCGCCAGCGCCCGCCCGCTAGCCAGCCAGCTGCGCAAGTGGTGCCGGGTTCCGCGCCCTCTGGCGACCCTGATTCCGACCCCGACCCGACCCGAGCTCCCTTCTAGGCGAGGCTCGCCGCTGCGCTCTTCCTCAGCCTACACGACCGTTCCGGCTCGGGCTCTGGCTCCAGCTCCGGCTCCGGCTCCGGCTCCGGCTCCGGCTCCGGCTCCGGCTCCGACTCCGGCGCGGGCTCCCACCTGCACCGGCTGCCGGGCTGGCGGGCGGGCTGCACGCGTCTCTCTGTCCCCTCCTCCTCGCCGCTGATGCTATCGCCCGGGCTTGCACAAAGCCCCGGAGTGGAGTGACACGCGCACGCACGCACACACACACACACACATCAGCGCTCTCACACTCGTGCACACTAGAACACGCTCTTTTACACACACGTACAGATAATGCTTTCACACACGCACATCCACATTCTCTCTGTCTCTGTCTCTGTCTCTGTCTCTCTCTCTGTCTCACACACACACCTGCTCACACACGTACCCCTACTCACACACATACAAATGAGCACATACAGTCGCTTACACCCACCCGTACACACACAGTTCACATTCGCCCGAAGCACATGCCTATAAGCTCACACCTACAAGAGAACACTGCGGTGATTGAGTGGATCTAGTCAGGCCGGGCAGAGGAGGAGGGCCATAGGCTGAATGTAGAAGCCGCCTGGAGCTGGCCTCTCTTTTTCTGCTTCTCCTCTCTCTCCCAGGCCCCTTTGCTTTTTTCCTGTCCTCCCCACCTCGCCCCCTTGGCTGAGAGAGCCCTAGGGCCTGGGCCTGGCCAGAGGACCCTCTGCTTCGGAAGGCGGTTTCTGGGAGCAACGCTCCTTCCTTTGCAAGGCCGAGGGAGAGTGGGACAACAGGGAGGAGATCTGCAGGGTGGGAGCGGAAAAGACCAGGGGCCCAAATCCGTAACTCTCAGTTCCGACGCCAGACTGCTCTTCGACTGGCCCAGGTCCCTCCAAAACTCTGGGTAAAGAGCAGACAGGGCGGGGGCAAGAAGAAAAGGACTAGAGGGGTGGGGATGGATGCCCTAAAGGGATGCCCATTTACAATAGGAGGAGAGCCGTCGGGGTTGGACGGGGGATAACCCAGCTCTCAAAGCTCTGGAAACCAGGTCAAATAGAGAATATCTGTTTATCTCGGGAAGGAGTGGGTGAGTACTGAACCCCGACTCGAAGAAATCGGGAGACCTAAGGCAGTCGGTCCCCCACCATCCTCACACTCCGCAGCCAGCACCATGCCCTTCCAACCCTTTAGCCCCCCCCCCCAAACTGGGCACCCTTTAGGAGTTGGTGCAGGGTCGGGAGCAGGTGTCCCTCAAAGGAGAGTGGATGCGGGTTCAGCCAGTGGCAGGAACCAAACTCCAGGCTTTCTCTAGCGGAGAAGCGGGGCCCGTAGGGGGAGGGGTGTGCCCCTGGAAGGGTTAATGAAAGCACCTTGTTTATTATAGGAGATAATAAATTTTTTTCAAGTGTTTCTCTGTGGTAAATGAAAGAAGTCTGGGAGGGAACCGCGCCCCCGAGAAGATAGGAATTACGCGGTTAGACGAGCTTAATGACCTTTTCGACAGAGACAAAGCGGTAGGACTACAGTAGACGAATACGAGGATCTGTCCGGCTGGGGCTAGGCTCCTATGTGTATTCATTTTCTTCATTTAAATGGTTTGATCTCTACGTCATTTCCAATTTCTCTCTCTTGCCAGCTGTCTAGCAGGAGCAGGCCCCCAACATCTGAAAAACAAATTTTCCATTTTCTTACACACATCCGATGGATCTATATCCATTCATCCTTTGCATTTTCCTCACTACTTCATTCTTCCTTGTCGGAACACAGGGGCTGGGCCTTTGAGAGAGAGGGAGGGCCAGTGGCCGGTGCAGTCTTCTAGGGCTTATCATAAATGGAAAAGGAGAGGGAAGGAAGTCTATTCTGCCTGAAATGGAGGTTCTGACTTTGCAAGGGAGGGAGGGCGAGAGGGGACAAGAAGCAAAGAAAGAAAAAAGTTTCTACACCTCTCATGAGGGCATCAACCAAAAGCTTGCTTTAAAAGAAAAATGTTTTCCCCCAACATCTTCCAGTAGGAACCAAAGGGTATTTTGTCTTTATCCGGTTCAGTTCTTCGAAAAAGAGTGGCTGGTTTCCTAGGGCAGTCACTGGAAAATGGGGCCCCAGAGAAAAGAGGGAAGGGCAGAGAGGCAGCAGCAGCGGGAAAGCTGCAGTCAAGACCTTCCATAAAAGGGTGGAGTGTTCTGAGGAAAGGAAGCCACCCTCACTCTCTTCTAGGTAGAATGAAAGGACAGAGGTGAACAAGTGAGTCACCAAGTATTTATACTATGTGCCAGGTATAAGGTTCTAAGTGCTAAATAGAAGAAAGGATTACTTAGAGAGGGCAAAGGTGCCCTCCCAGGGGCACCAACTAGGTGCTCCCCAATGTCCTCTAAGTCCCAGGACAGAACACTCAAGAGGGGAATTCCTTGTCTTGGGGGAGGAGTTCACCTCAAAGTCTCCCCCCGCCCAGGTTGATTGTAACTTGGGTATTTCCAAAGCCTTCAGGCTCATCATAGATATGTAACAGGGCTATCTTGCTGAAGGAGAGGAAAGGCCTGATTTTCCAAGAATAAAATTGCCAGTGTACAGGGCAAGAATGAAAGGAGAGATTGTGGCAGGAAGGAAATGATGAACAGAAGAAATCAGCAGGCCCTAAATATGTGGGAGTGGGGGGATTGGGGTGCAGGGGTAGTTAGATGGCTTTTGGAGGAGATACTTCCAGAAGAGGGAAAGTGTGTACAGGATACTGGGACAGGGGAAATGCTAAGGGACTAGGCCAATATGTTAGCCAAGAAATGGAGGAGAGAGGGATTAGAAAGAGGGTAGATAGAAGGGAAAGGGTAAAATTACCCTTGCAATAACACTTTGGGAGTGGCCAGGGAGAAGAGAAAATAAAACTACTGAAAATCCTTTGTGATCCCAGGATATAGGGACACATGAGGCTGTTTGCCCCCTCTTAGCTCATTAAAAAACAGAAGCTGGAACAGGATCTACATGTCTTCTCTGATGTCCCAAAGGGGGCTAGAGTGTCCCCTTGAGTGTGGAGATGTAGCTAGATCTTAGGTAGCTCTCCTAAAGAAATAATCCTACTAAGATATCGAGACCTTAGTCTTGTTAGGATGGTCTATCCTGAGACACCAGATAAAGAAATGACTCAGGGCAGAAAGGGGACTAGCTCTGCTGGTGTTGTCCCCAGTCCCAGTTGATTTTTTTTTTTTTGCTTGGTGTGGGAACACTCTCATTTTGTCCCTACCAATGCCACCAAGGCTTTAACTGGCTAATAATAATAAAAATAACAATAACTAAAATTTATATAAAGCTTGCTATGTACCAGGCACATCCCATTTGATTCTCACAACAACCTTATGAGGTAGGTGCAATTGTGGAACCCATTTTACAGATGTAGAAACAGATAAACAGAAATTAAGTGACTTGCTGAGGGTCGCACAGCTAAGAAGTATCTGAGGCTAGATTTGAACTCAGGTCTTCCTGACTCCCAGCCCAGCACTCTATCCACTGTGTTACCTAGCTGCCCACAACTGCTCGTGAGACTGACCCTCTCAAAAGTAGAGTGTTAGAAGGAAAAAAAAAAAACCTGACTTCTAGTCCTGCCCTGCTGTTAACTATATGACCTTGAGCAAGTCTCTTGACCTCTCTGGATCTCAGCTTCCTTTTCTGTAAAATGAGAAGTTTGGACAAGATAGATTCTGAAGTCTCTTTCAGCTGGATGAATTCTCTTAGCCTGGGTAAGGGCTCCTCCTTTCTTGCTCTTGGTTTACATGAGACAGAGGAACCTTCTCCCCATTCTCCCCCAAAACTCTGCAGTGTGAACCACATAAGAGACTGAGTAAAGAAGAAGAGGACAGCTGAGGGCCAATGAAATGTCTCTCCTGGGTCACAGGGAGATGCTATGCATGACACCAGGATGGCACCTGCAGCTCAGCCAAGATGCCTCAAAACACACTTTTCTGAGTTTTAGTCATATTCTGTGAACAGGAGTGCAGACTAATTGTTTCTATGTCTATCTCCCTATCTGTCATCTATCTATATTGCATATACACATTATACACACACAAATATATGTGGATATATATATATATGTGTGTGTGTGTGTGTGTGTGTACATTGTGTACACATACACACACAAGGCCCTTCACAGACTATTACTGTTCAAAGCATCTTAGAAACCATCTAGGCCAAGGGTTCTTAGCCTTTTTTTGTATCATGAAACCCTTTGGAAGTCTGGTAAATCCTAAAAGACTCCTCAGAATTTTTTTGTCAAAATTTATAATTGAAGGAAATGCTAAATTTTTGTTGCAGATTATTTAAAAAGTATCATTTTTCTCATCCAAGTTCACAGACCCCATGAATCCCAGGTTAAAAGCCCCTGATCTAGTTCAGCCTCAAACCCCCTACATACCTCTTTTGAGGAAACTGAAACCTAAAGAGGGCAAGAGACTTACCCAAGGTCACACAGCCAATCCACGGCAGGCAGATCAGATCCAGGTCTTGAACTGTGTCTTCTGACTCCCATTTCAACATCTTTCTCTCTGTCTCTCTCTCTGTCTCTGTCTCTCTCTCTGTCTCTGTCTCTCTCTCTCTCTCTCTCTCTCTCTCTCTCTCTCTCTCTCTCTCTCCCCATAGAATGTGTAATATACTTTCTATTTGTT